CAAAAAATTAGCCGGGTGCGGTAGTGGCCGCCTGTAATCCCAGCTACTCAGGAGGCTGAGGCAGGAGAATGGCGTGAACCCGGGAGGCAAAGCTTGCAGTGAGCCGAGGTCGCGCCACTGCACTCCAGCCTGGGGCACACAGCGAGACTCCGTCTCCAAAAAAAAAAAAAAAAAAAAAACAAAAAAAAAAACAGTTTATGTATTTATTGTAAGTGGTAATGCCTAAACTACAGACAGATTACTTCTGGCCTACTTTTCCATGTCTTTGAACAATACTCTAAAACTGCTTTCATTTCTGAAATTATAAAAGTACGTATTACCTTTTATTTTTAATCAAACTTACAGAATTTTAGAATGACTAAAACGGTTAGTATAATTCATACCAGAGTCTTCAATCCTAACTGCTCTCAAGGGCAAGTATCAAAGATTCTGGCTCTCCCACAACTAAAAATAAAGTGTTGAGTCTTTTTTTTTAAATGAGGCCACACTTTATTCCATAAAGTAGAATAAATGTTCCCATTATTGAGTTTTTTTTTTTTTTTGAGAGGGAATTTCGCTCTTGTCGCCCAGGCTGGAGTGCAATGGCACTATCTCAGCTCACTGCAACCTCTGCCTCCCAGGTTCAAGCAATTCTCCTGCCTCAGCCTCCCGAGTAGCTGGGATCACAGGCATGCACCACCACGCCTGGCTAATTTTGTATTTTTAGTAGAGACGGGGTTTCTCCATGTTGGTCAGGCTGGTCTCAAACTCCCGACCTCAGGTGATCCACCCACATCAGTCTCCCAAAGTGCTGGGCTCACAGGAGTGAGCCACCGCGCCCAGCCCCCATTATTGAGTCTTAATGCCAGAAGAAAGGTGAGGATTTTTAACCAACAGAGGACATTACTGCTTTTCTAAATTTAGAGATTTGGAATGAAATTTATCTTTAACTCTCCATAAGAACAAAAGATATGTCTCTACCAACAGGAGTTCTGAAATGTAACCTCTCTAATCACAGAAACCATATTCAAAGCAATTTTGGTATACTGGGTTGGCCACACTGAGAACGTAAGGCACGTCAAAATAAATACAAAAGCCATTATCTAGCAAAGACAATAAAACTTACAAAGGGTAGCCAGGAAAAAAAGACTTAAAATCTGTACTAGACAAAATGTGAAAGAGCAAAAAACGTGAAAAAGTAAAACCTCCAAAACTAGAGCTATAGTTAAATTACCGAATGGCTATTATAGAATATTTACAGTCTGTAAAAAATGTCTGCAAATGTTTAGATAAAGTAGTTTTCCAAATTGTTATGGCAACAGATTGAACACTACTCACACATCCCTTTCTCCATTTCACACACAGGAAAAAAGAGACAAATGTAGAGATTACTGGTGATTTTAGCTTTCATCTTCATAATTTCCAAATTTTCTATAGTAAACATGCATTGCTCTTATAATCATAAAAATCTATTAAACTCACACAAGTCTAGCCTACATCTTTTTAAATATCCGTGAAACTCTTGCAAAAATATCTATTGTCTAAATTGAACTGATTTATGACCTTATATATATTTTTTCCTGGATAAAATATTTCAGGATAACATTTTGGTTCCTTTATCAATTCGGAAGTCCTTTCCCAGATTGCAGAGCGTGTCTGGAACTTGAGAGTTACATGCTGAGGAAGAGGGGGCAGTAAAAGGGGCAGAAAAATAAGGCAAGTTGCACCATGACTTCCATTCTTCATAGCTGTAACTGTCTCACTCGTCATTCTCTGCCCACTGTATTTCAGCATCACCATCACCACACTGCTCCGCTCCAGGGAGCCCCAACCACATCATAATCTCACAGTCCATGTGAAGAACATGCCTGGATCACCATAAAGCCGAGAATAACTACTGAAGTTGTGCAACGCATAACTTTTTTTTCCTTTAAGCCTGTTGTCTGAAAGGAACGCACTGAGCTAGGTTCTTGGTCTTTATAAAGATGTTGTCCATCTTCATGAACTCTACATTCTTGACAAATTACTCCACAGGAGTTGACAGTCTTTCAAATGTGGAGCTAGGTAGTGGTATTAGGATCTTTCAAACTAAAAAATGACTGCAGCAGATCTGATCAAACAGAATCAAACGGAAACTATCAAATCCAGAAATAGAAAAGCAATTAGTTAATGTAGTTCAACTCCTATAAAAATAGTCTGTGGACTTCATCTACTAACGGCAAATACTCCATTAGACACAATCTTTCTTCACTGTGTTTACACCTGCACTATAGTACAAAAGCAACAGTGAGTAAAACTGCTAGCTCCTTACTACACACTGAGGGTGAGGACCAAAGTGCATATCTGTCAGGTGCACAATCTGACATACACAGACACACACACAAAATATATCTCCACAAAACCATCACTATAATCAAGATAATAAATATCTCCATCACCCTAACAATTTCATCAAGTGAGCACGTATCTTTTTAATATTCTGTGTGACTAAATAGGAAGCAGAGATAAGCATTCCAGTTGCAGACTCAAGAACACTGTCTCAAGGAAAAGCACTTGTGTGACAGACTTGCAAGCTCAATTCACCAGTTTTTTCAAGGGAAAATTTTTTTCCTTTTACTCGTTTCATATATTTTGTCCAGGTTTTTCGTTGTTTAGCGGACAAAGTTAAGTCTGGTCTCTGTTACTCCATCTCAGCCAGAAGCAGAAGTCTACAGTTACTTCTATTGTCCCAAATTTGCCTTTCTTAAGCCTGTACGGTGAAGGTAACATTTGTCCCTTCCTGGCTCTGTAGACTTTGAGGAAATCCTTTTCCACAGAGGAGAGTCCTGGCCACATTTAGCCCGTCTGGTAGCAGACTCTCTACACCCTTGATTATTTTGGTGATGCTGGCCGGCAGGTGTGTTCACCACAATAGGACCTAGCCCTCACAATGTGAAGGTAGCCTCGTTTACCAAGGTTACACAGGACAGTATGACAAGATGGGTAAAATGAACACTGAAGTCAGAAGACTCATATTCAAGTCCTGGAACTTGGGTAACTTTGGCAAACTCACTCAAATTGTGAGCCCTATCAATAGGCTCTCACATTGGTGATGAGGAGGAAATGAGATAATGAATCCAAAAACACTTTGTAATCTGTAAGGTACTATACAAAGATAAAAGGATAATGAAGTGTAGTTCCAATATTCCCAACAGTCCTTAAGCTTTTTTTTTTTTTTTAGATGGAGTCTTGCTCTGTTGCCCAGGCTGAAGTACAGTGGCGTGATCTCATCTCACTGCAACCTCTGCCTCCTGGGTTCAAGCAATTCTCCTGCCTCAGCCTCCTGAGTAGCTGGGACTACAGGCGCATGCTACCACGCCCGACTAATTTTTGTATTTTTAGTAGAGACGGGGTTTTCCCATGTTGGCCAGGCTGGTCTTGAACTCCTGACCTCAGGTGATCCACCTGCCTCAGCCTCCCAAAGTGCTGGGATTATAGGCATAAGCCACCGCGCCCAGCCCAGTCCTCAAGTTTTCTAACATTCCATCTTCCAAACCTCTAAGCCACTATGACACATTTAAAAAATGTAAATAAGTACTAATAAAAAGAAATGCACCATCTTCTAAGTACAATTATTTCCCTCAACCATATACTCTGAATAAGAAATCATTTATAAATGTGGCCCAACATAATTTCAAAAACTCATCCTCAATCTAATTCACAAATCCCTTAACCTATGTGTAAGTACCCAAGACCACTCACATCCTTGGAATGTTGGCATTGCATGAGTGACAAAAATTAACCAAATTCTTTGGGACTTAGACTACATATCAGGCTGAAATGGTAATTTTTAAAACATAAGCAAACTCATAAATGGTATTTGTTACTTACCTCTGTAACATTGTGGCAAGAAGTGCAATAATATTTGCCTTCATCAGTAAGGCCCCATGAGACAGCAGCACACTGACTGCAGCGTTCTTTAAACTCTTCCTATGGGAGAAGAGGACAGAAAAGGTGTTCCCATCAAGCCACATTCAATACATCGTACCTAAACCCTGCAGTTCTACTTAGTGTGTTCCTTGCAACTTTATAAATAAAAAATCATACACAATAGAAAATATATCAGAGAGATTATCTGCAAACAAGGAGAGGAGCGGTATGAAATCGAATTAAACTGCTGGAGAAAATTTATTGAAATATGCAGTGTGAGAGGAAAAATAAAGAAAAGGAGGTAGTAGGGGTAAACTGGAACCAAAGGTGAGTAAACAAAGCTCCTTGAAAATGCTGTGAGAAAGAAGATGACAAACAAGTATAGAGAAGACTTTTTAAAAACGCAAATACCATTTGGAACTCCTCCAGGACACTAAAAGCGCATACCACAGAGGAACTAGATTTGTACTGGTTTCAAGTTTCGATTTATTCACTCGGAAGCATAAAGAGTATCAACTCTGGGTGTACCAGGCTTTTTACTAAGTGCTAGGGATTCAATGGTGAGCAGAACAGACCAGACATGGTCCCTAGTCTGGGTATACACTAGCTAATGGTGAGTTACAATGATTAATTTCATCAGCCTAGCATCTACAGAAGTTAGCCAACCATCATTCAATAAACATTTTTTTAAGCCCGTATTATAAGGCCATACTGCTTCCGTATATACAGGCCTAATTCTCTGATTCCCAACTCTTTGGAGTTTGACTTGTTGTTAGCGTTGATCTAATTATCAAGTACCATTTAATACCATCAAAGTGTGTGCCATTTGGCCGGGTGCGGGGGCTCACCCCTGTAATCCCAGCACTTTGCAAAGGCTGAGGCAGGAAGATCGCCGGAGCCCAGGAGTTCAATACCAGTCTGGACAACATAGCGAGACCCCTGCCCCTACCAAAAAAAAAAAAAAAAATTAGCTGGGAGTGGTGGCGCAGGTCTGCAGTACTAGCTAATTGGAAGGCTGAGGCGGGAGGATCTCTCGAGCCCAGGAGGTCGAGGCTGCAGTGAGCCGTGATCGTGATGTGCCACTGCACTCCAGCCTGGGGGACAAAGTGAGACCTTGTCTCAAAAAGAAAAAAACAAAAATGTGCCATTTTACGTAGCACCTAAAACAAAAAAATGCATGCCAAATTAATTTTGGCAACTTGGTAAAGTGTTCAATGACCCCGTACTAACACTACGATGAATGACAGCTGGAAAATTTGGGGAGTTCCCAAACCCGAATTCAGAATCCCTGCAGGAGACAGCGGCGAGGATTCCCGGAGAGACCGACAGGGGTTACCCGGGGGCATCTCAGGTTCCAAACCCTGCTCCCCCTTCACCCACCCCAGCATTAAAGGGAACTTGTGGGTGGTCCAGTCTCGAGGATGAGCCCTGTGGGTGGCCACCTCACAAAACCCACAACTCCATCCTTAAACACACCCATAACGACAAACCCCACACCCTCCCTCGCCCACAACCTCGCCGAGCCAGAAACTCCAGCCTCTTTACCAACGCCGCGCGCGCATGCGGCCGGCCAGCGCCCAGTCGTCACCCCGCCCCGCAGCCCTCCGCCCCGCCTTCCTCCAGCCGGTGGCCGCCCCAACCCGAGGCGTTCTCCGCCGCTCCTCCTCAGCTTCTCTCCCCTCCGGCCCCGGCAGTAGGGGCCCGCCAGGCGCACCGCCTCCTTACCGCCTCCTCGAGGTCCATCGCGGCGCCGCGGAAGCTTCCACAGCCGGGACCCGTTACCCGGGTAGCGAGCGCAGCTTCCGGGAGAGGCGGGAGAAGCCCTTCGGCCGGAAACGCGAGATCCGCGCCGAGGATTCCGTGCGCCTGCGCGGCAGGGAACCGGCTCGCCCGGGGGCAAGGCTCCGCAAAGCCCGCAGCCCCCTGGCGGACTATCTTCGTTTCCTACTCTTGAGAACCAAAACCAACTAATAAGAAAGTGGGCGACGCCTACTGCTGAGTGATTCGGTCAAGCTCCCTCCCGACGGTCATTCATTCCAAGACCGACTTGCTCGTCTGGCTGCTGGGGGCCGCGCAAGGCGGAGCTCGCGAGCGCGGTTTCTGTCTTCCGTGGGCTCCGCCCTCCGTGGGTTCTGCCCCCCGGGTCTCGTCCCTCGCTGGCTTTTTTAAGGGGAAGCCTCGGGGCTTGGAGGAAAGCTCACGGGCTGTGAGTTACACCTAAGTTTCCAGTCACGGCTCTCCTGCTTACTTGTGCCTCAGTTTCCTCCTCTGTAAGAATTAGATGTTATCTGTGAGCCCCTTATAATTGAGTTTCCGCCAGGCGTGGTGGTTCACGCCTGTAACCCTGGGGAGGCTGAGCTGGAAGGATTGCTTGAGGCCAGGAGTTGGAGACCTGCGGGGCAACAAAGTGAGACCCCTTCTCTAAATAAGTAAATAACTGAATAAATAAATGCATGAGTGAATATAATTGAGTCACAGATAGTAACTGCTCAATAAATTTAGCTCTTATTGTTTCTTCATTTAACACATTCATTCCTTGTTTTATTTATTAAACAGGAACTGGTTTCGGTCCTGGGGATTCAGCAGTAAACAAAAGTCCTTGCCTTCGTGGAGATTCCATTCTGATGGGGAGAGACAAAAATAAATGAGGAAAATATGTGGTATGTTAAATGGTGGTGAGTGCCAAGGAGAAAAAGAGGAGAGTGGTTTCAGTCTGAAATGGGATGTTCAAGAAAGGTCTTTTGATATAATCATATATCTCAAGAAGTTAGAAAAAAGGTTAAACTGAAAACTAATGGGATGAAGAAAATGTTTCAAAAGAGAAAGCAAGCTTCACTAGAGAGGCTCCACAGAGGCTGTGGTGGCTGGTGCCTGTAATCCCATCACTTTGGGAGGTGAAGGCCGGAGGATTGCTGGAGGGCAGGAGTTGGAGACCAGCCTGCCCAACATATTGAGTCCTCATCTCTATAGGCTGGAGTTCAGTGGCACAAACTCCGCTCACTGCAACCTCCACCTACCAGGTTCAAGCAATTCTCTTTTCTGCCTCAGCATCCCAAGTACCTGGGATTACAGGCACGTGCCACCACGCCTGGCTAATTTTTGTATTTTTAGTAGAGACGAGGTTTCACCATGTTGTCCAGGCTGATATCGAACTCCTCACCTCAAGTGATCTGCCCGCCTCGGCCTTCCAAAGTGCTAGGATTACAGGCGTGAGCCACCGCGCCCAGCTTAAAAGATATTTTTTAAGAAAAGAGTCTCGACAAACTAACATTAACTCTTTGAAAAGACTAATACATTCGATAAACTCTGGAAAGATTGATTGAAAAGAAAAGAAGAGCCCAGCTTGGTGGTGCATACCTGCAGTCCTAGCTACTTGGGAGGATGAGACAGGAGGTTTGCTTGAGCCCAGGAGCTCAAGGCTGCTGTGAGCTATAATCAGGCCACTGTGCTTCAGTCTGAGCAATGGAGCAAAGAAAATCAAAATAACTGATAACGGTGGCATCACTAACCAATATGTAGGGGCATCACTACAAATACCACAGACATTAAAAAGATCATAAGGGGATAATCTGAACAACTCTAGGCCAATAAATGTGAAAATTCAACCAATTTTTTTTTTTTTTTTTTTTTTTTTTTTAAAGACAGAGTCTCGCTCATTTGCCCAGGCTGGAGTGCAGTGGTGCAGTCTCAGCTCACTGCAACCTCTGCTTCCCAGATTCAAGCAATTCTCCTGCCTCAGCCTCCTGAATAGCTGGGACTAATAGGCACCTGCCACCATGCCTGGCTAATTTTTGTATTTTTAGTAGAGATGGAGTTTCACCATACTGGCCAGGCTAATCTCGAACTCCTGACCTTGTGATCTGCCCACCTCAGCCTCCCAAAGTACTGGCAGGATGAGCCACCATGCCTGGCCAAATTCTACCAAATTTTTAAGAAAGAAATAGGCCAGTCATGGTGGCTTGTGCCTGTAATCTAAAACTTTAGGAGGCTGAGGCAGGAGAACATTTGAGGCCAGGAGTTCGAGACCAACCTGACCAACATGACAAAACCTCATCTGTATTAAAAGTACAAAAATTATCCAGGCGTGGTGTTGCACGCCTGTAATCCCAGCTACTTGGGAGGCTGAGGCACAAGAATTGCTTGAACCTGGGAGGCGGAGGTTGTAGTGGGCCAAGATCGTGCCATTGCACTCCAGCCTGGTTGACAGAGTGAGACTCTGTCTCAATAATAATAATTTTAAAAAGAAAGAAAGAACACCCATCTTATACAGATGCTTCCAAATAATGTAAAAAGAGGAGCATTTACCAACACATTTTAGGAGACAAGCATGACCTTGACATCAAAACTTGACAAGGATATTTCAAGAAAAGTCAAAATTAAAGATCAATTCCTCTTATAAACATACATGCAAAAGTTCCAAACAAAAATCAGTAAATTGAATGTACATCCTGTTGTATTCAGTAATATATAAATAGGATAATAAATCACAGCCAAATTAGGTTTATTCTAGGAATGCAAGGTTAGTTTAACATCAAGCCTGTAATCTCAGCATTTTGAGAGGCCATGGTGGACAGAACACTTAAGCCCAGGAATTTGAGATCAGCCTGGGCAATATAATGAGACCTCATTTCTGCAAAAAATTTAAAAAATTAGCTGGGTGTGGTGGCACAGTCCTATAGTCTCAGGTACTAGGGAGACAGAGGTGGGAGGATCGGTTAAGGCTGCAGTGAGCTGTGGTCATGCCACTGCATTCCAGCCTAGGTGACAAAGCAAGACCTTTTCTCAAAATTAAAAAATGTTAAAAGAAAAAGTAGAGAAAAAAGAATAAAGATTTAAAAAATAAATAAAAGAGAAAAAATAAACCATACAGTAATCTAGGCTGGAGTGCAGTGGCAAGATCTTGGCTCACTGCAACCTCTGCTCCTGGATTCATGCCATTCTCCTGCCTCAGCTTCCCAAGTAGCTGGGACTACAGGCGCCCGCCACCACGCCTGGCTAACTTTTTTTGTGTTTTTAGTAGAGATGGGGTTTCACCGTGTTAGCCAGGATGGTCTCGATCTCCTGACCTCATGATCTGCCCGCCTCGGCCTCCCAAAGTGCTGGGATTACAGGTGTGAGCCACCGCGCCTGGCCGTATACTCTCTTAGTTATTTTTAAAAGTACAAGTAAATTATTATTGACTATAGTCACCCTGTTGTGCTAGCAAATACTAGGTCTTATTCATTCTTTCTATTACTTTTGTATTCATTAACCATCCCCACCTCCCTCTTCACCATTCCCTGCCCCTGACCAGCTACCCGGCCCAGCCTCCGATAACCAATCTTCTACTCTCTATCTCCATAAAGTGAATTGTTTTGATTTTTAGATCCCACAAATAAGTGAGAACATGTGACGTTTGTCTTTCTGTGCCTGGCTTACTTCACTTAACATAATGACTTCCAGTTCCATTCATGTTATTACAAATGACAGGATTTCACTCTTTTGCATGGCTGAATAGTACTCCATTGTGAATATGTACCACACTTTCTTTATACATTCATCTTGTGATGGACACTTAGGTGGCTTCTAAACCTTGGCTATTGTAAACAGTGCTGCAATAAACATGGGAGTGCAGGTATCTCTTCAATATATTGATTTCCGTTCCTTTGAATATATACCCAGCAGTGGGATTGCTGGATCATATGGTAACTCTATTTTTAGTTTTTTGAGGAACCTCCAAACTATTCTCCCTAATGCTTGTACTAATTTGCATCCCCACCAACAGTGTTTGAGGGTTCTGATTTCTCTACATCCTCACCAGTGTTTGTTATTGCCTGTCTTTTGGATATAAACTATTTTAACTGGGATGAGATTGTAGGGTTTTGTTGTTGTTGTTTGTTTGTTTGTTTTGAAACAGAGTCTTGCTCTTGCCCAGGTTGGAGCGCAGTGACACAATCTCAGCTCACTGCAACCTCCGCCCCCCAGGTTCAAGCGATTCTTGTGCCTCAGCCTCCTGAGTAGCTGGGACTATAGGCACGTGCCACCACACCCAGCTAATTTTTGTATTTTTTTAGTAGAGACGGGGTTTCACCATGTTGGCCAAGATGGTCTCTATCTCTTGACCTCATGATTCACCTGCCTCAGCCTACCAAAGTGCTGAGATTACAGGCGTGAGCCACCATGCCCAGCCGAGATTGTAGTTTTGATTTTCATTTCTCTGATGATCGATGATGTTGAGCACCTTTTCATATACCTGTTTGCCATTTGTATGTCTTCTTTTGAGAAATGTCTATTAAAATATTTTGCTGATTTCTTTATTGGATTATTAGAATTTTTTTCCTGTAGACTTGTTTGAGCTCCTTATATATTCTGGCTAATAATCACTTGTCAGATGGATAGCTAGCAAATATTTTCTCCCATTCTACGGGTTGTCTCTTCACTTTGTTGATTGTTTCTTCTGCTGTGCAGAAGCTTTTTAATTTGGTGTGATCTAATTTGTCCATTTTTGCTTTGGTTGCCTGTGCTTGTGGGATATTAATCAATAAATTTTTGCCCAGACCAATGTCCTGGAGAATTTCCCCAATGTTTTCTTTTAGTAGTTTCATATTTTGAGGTCTTAGATTTAAGTCTTAATCCATTTCAATTTGATTTTTGTATGTGGTGAGATATAGGGGTCTAGTTTTGTTATTTTGCTTATGGATATTTAGTTTTCCCAGCACCATTTATTGAAGAGACTCTTTTCCTCAGTGTATGTTCTTGGCCCCTTTGTCAAAAATTAGTTTACTGTAAGTGTGTGGATTTGTTTCTGTGTTCTCTATTCTGTTCTGTTGGGCTATGTGTCTGTTTTCATGCTAATAGCATACTATTTTGATTACTATAGCTCTGAGTATAATTTGAAGTCAGTTAATGTGATACCTCCAGCTTTGTTCTTTTTGCTTAGGACAACTTTGGCATTCGGGGTCTTTTGTGGTTCCACATAAATTTTACGGCAGTTATTTGCCTTTCTGTGAAGAATGTCATCGGTATTTTGATAGGGATTGCATTGAATCTGTAGATTGCTTTGGGTAGTATGGACATTTTAACAACATTGATTATTCCAATCCATGGACATAGAATATCTCTCCATGTTTTGGTGTCCTCTTCAATTCCTTTCATCAGTGTTTTGTAGTTTACATTATAGAGATCTTTTACTTCTTTGGTTAATTCCTAGGTATTTCATTTTCTTTGGCTATTGTAAATGGGATTAGTTTTTTTTATTTCTTTTTCAGATTGTTCACTGTTCACACCAATTATTTCTGAAAACCAATAAATGACTTAGAGTATTAGGCTGATTTGATGCATGCTCTATGTTATATTAATATCATTTTTTAAGCAGTTTTTTTTTTTTTTTTTTTTTTTGAGATGGAGTCTCACTCTGTCGCCCATGCTAGAGTGCAGTGGCACAATCTTGGCTTGCTGCAACCTCTGCCTCCTGAGTTCCAACGATTCTTCTGCCTCAGCCTCCCAAGTAGCTGGGATTACAGGTTTGTGCCACCATGCCCAGTTAATTTTTGTATTTTTGGTAGAGATGGGGTTTCCCCATGTTGGCCAGGCTGGCCTTGAACCCCTCACCTCAAGTGATCCTCCCGCCTCGGCTTCCCACGGTGCTGGGATTACAGGTGTGAGCCACCACACCCA